TGGTTTCTAGAAGGGGGCGCTTCTTCCTCCGCCTCTCTCCTGCTTCCTCTGCGTCCTGGGTATGGGGAGAGGGGAGTGCTCTTCTTGGAGTAACATTACCTGGCCTCCCCTCTCACCAATCCTACAAGACGAAGAGACTCTGCCTAGAGAGGTTCAATCACTTACCCAAGGCCGCACAGCCAGTAGGCGGAGGGCTGAGTGCAGCGCCTACCCCTGCCCAGCCCTTCCACAGGAATGCCCGCAGCCTTCCCTGACCCCTCCCTGCTTTCTGCTCCCACAGCATCATATGGGGAGGGGGGGCCCACCCTGCAGTGCTGACTCCGAGTCTGTTCTCACTGCAGTCCTGGTTTCCCCTCGGGACTGCTCCCTCCCAAGAGGCTGGGGATGGATGACAGGTTTTGTTGGTGAGAGTTCCTAGGGGCTTATATGTGACCAACTCCAGACGCCCAGGAGCTGTCTCTGAGGAGGGCGCATGTGCTGTCTGTGGACAGTGAGACCAGATGACGGTCTCACTGTCCACTGACAGCCGCCTGGGCTGGGCTGGCACCCCAGTCTGCCTCACAGAAACTTCTCTATTAATGCATCAAGAACAGGTTGCGCAGTTTAGGGGGTTGGTATTTTCGAGAGATGCCAAAAGCATGGGTCAGTTAGTGGAAAGAAACAAGGGGCCCCTGTTGTCCTTTGTGCTGGGCAGTCAGAAGAGAAGGTGTTGACTTATTTAATTCATCTTTGTCTGTGAGTGCAGCTGAGACACAATGTTCCATTAGTTTCCGGCGTGCACCATGGTGATTCCACAGTTCACACGTTATAGCGCTGCTCACCTCCAGTGCGGCTCCCATCTGGGAAGGTGTTTATTGTGTGATCTTTGCGTCCGGCCAGCCAGCAGTACCGCGTTGTCTCCCAGGCTCCCGGCCCGCTTGCTTGGACTGTGGCAGCAGTCACCTGGCTGGTTTCCCTGACCGCAGGCTCCCCTTCTCCAGCTTCTCCCCCAGATCCTGGCACTGCCTAGTCTCCCCTGGGTCCCAGCTCTCATAGGAGAAAAGCGTAATGTTCTTGCCCCACCCAGTTCTGTTCTGGGGCCTGCCTCTCTGCTGGGCCTCATGATGACCCGGCCATGCAGGGGGTCACACTCTGACCAGTCCCACCCCAGACCTTTGCTTGTGCCTGGGAGATCCTGTCCTTCCCGGCTCACATGCTCCCTGGCACCCCAGAAAGTGCCCCCAGTGCTTTCCCCCCACCTTCGCTTGGTTGGACAGGATTCACTCTTCTAAGCAGCTTCTGTAGGGTTTGAAGGAAAGAAGGTGCATGTTCCTCAGGTGTCATGAGTGTGGTGAATTTAAGCAGGGGAGATGAAGCAGGAGATTGGAGCCTCCAGGCCCGGAGAAGCCAACAGCAGGTGGGACCCGCTGAGCCCCCAAGGACAGGGCCTCCTTCCTTGCTAGAAGCATCACGGCCCCTGAGAAGTGAAATTCAAGCTCTGCTGACAAGAAGGGCCTTTAAAAAAAAAAGAGACAGAGGCCTAAGATGGGAAGGCAGTGTCATATAGGCAGAAGGTCCTGGGCTGGCAGGCGGGAGGCCAGCCTCAGGAGTCCTCCCACCTTCCTGAGCCTCCATTTCCTCACATAGAAAATGCAGACAGTTACACCCATCTTGTGAGCGTCATAGGATTGTCAGGAGGGTTAAATGAGATTCTGGATGCCAGGGAGGCTTTGGTGAGTAGGATCAGGTCATTGTCATGACCGACATTTGCTGAGCATTCGCTGTGTGCCAGGCACTGGGTGTATTACCCGTTCGGTCTTTACAGTGATCACATGCAGTGCGATCTATTAATTGCTCCTACTTTACTGAGGAGGATACTGAGGCACAGAGAGGCTGAATGATCCGCCCAAGGTCACAGACTTAGGAAGAGGCAGACTCGGGAATTAAATCCAGGCAGTCTGGTTCCAGAGACCTTGCTCCCAGCCTCTGTGCCAAACTGACTGAGGACCGCTGGGCTCAGTGGTGGCCTGTGGGCTTGAACCTAGGCAGTCTGCTGCTTCCTGGCCACCTCTGGGGTCAGGCTAGGCCAGGTCTCTAGACAGGCAGCTTCCTCGGTATTTGACGACGGGCCTCCCCACATCTCATATGCCAAGGACTCTCTACACTAGCTTTCTCTGTGGCACTTCAGATAATCATAATTCCAGAGTGTCCAGCGGGCGGCCGGACCACCTGCACAGGTCAGTCTCATGCCCTGAGGTGCTGAAGCTCCCCTTACCCTGAATGCTCACTCTCCCAGGGCATCTCATAGAACAGGGCTGGCGAAGGATGCCCACAAAGCCCCCACTCAGCACACCAGTGGGGGGGGGTGTTCCTGGGGATTCTCATCTTCCACCAAGGAGCAGGGTGGTGTTGTAAGTGGAACCCACCAGTGGATCATATAAACTGGTTTGAATCCTGGCATGCAGCAGGTGCGCAATACACCCCTGGCTCTCAGTACCAATAGCAGAAGTAGTGGGAGCCATCATCTGTGTCCCTGGTTCACTGAGGTGTACCTGTTCATTCATTCAACAAAAGTTTTCAGTGCCTGCTAGATTCCAGGCCCTGTACTAGACCTTGGGATGGAGACGTGAATTTGACAGAACTCCCTGCCCCCATGGAGCTTCCATCGTACTGGAGGAGGCAGAATTAACAAGATAAGCACAAAAACAAGAGATGTTGGGTTGTGATCAGTTCTATGGAAAAAATAAAGCAGGAAAGGATGGGGTGGAAGGGGTTTCCATTTAAATTCAGTGGTCTGGAGATGAAATTGGAGCAAAGCCTAGGAGGAGGTGAGGAAGAGAGCCGTGCACACATATGTGCGGCAGCGTCGTGTATCAGGTAGAGGCAGGCGAGCTACCGGCCATCCACGAACACCAGCCGTCTGCTGTGGACAGGGCATTACAGGGGGAGCGCGGGGGCAGGGGTGGGGGGCGCACAGGCACAGAGAGGACTCAGACCCAGACCCACAGGGCAGACACTCCCACGTCACAGGGGACTCCCATGTAAGTGCTGTGGGATGCTGCGGGAAATGGAGGGCACATGAAGGGGGGCTTCCCAGAGAAAGAGGTATCAGAGAGCCAGCTTGGGGACCAGGTGGTGGTGGAAGGTGTAGGGTGGATAACACAGACACGGTTAACTCCAGCTGAATGGACCCAGGACCTGCATTTCCTGGGGCTGGAGATCAAGGAGGCTTCCCGGAAGAGGTGGCCTTGGAGCTGAGCCTGGCAGACAAGCATGATGTTGCTAGACGGAGGAGCAGAGACGGCCTTTGCCAGCACAGCCTTGGTGCCCTGGGTCCAGGCACAGCGCTGTCAGGAAGTGCCTCTGATGGGGCAGCCTGGAGCCCTGAGGGGAGGGCAGCTGTCCCCCTTCCCCAGGCTGCGCGGTCTCTCTGATCCCTCTCCCTGTCCCCTAGGAGGAGGAGGCACTGATGGATATGCGGAGGCTGGGCTGCTGCGGCCCAGCACTGTCACCACACTCTCCCTCCCTCCCCCGGAACCTGACACCCTGACCACTGAGGCATAAAAAACAGAGAATTGGAAGGCTCAGCCTGTCAGGCTGGGAGTGGCCCCCAGAGAGGCCTGAGGAGAAGCACGTGTGTGTGTGTGTGTGTGTGTGTGTGTGTGTGTGTGTGTGCGCGCGCACGTGCACGCGCCCACGCACGCTCTGCCTGTGGTTGGCTGTAGAAATGGGGAGGAGGCCAGCTGGGCCCAGGGGGTGGGAGCAGCTGGCCCCTCAGGCCTCCTTTATTGTTCTTGCCCTACCTGGTGGAGCCCCAGGGGCCCTACATCTGGGCCCGGATGCTGGGGCAAGAGCAGTGCTCCAGGTCCTGCCTTCTGGTTGGTCCTTCTGGAGGCTCCTACCCTTTGGCACCCTTGAGAGGAATCCATGGAAGCACGTCAGGGCTGCGGGTGGTCTCCTGGGGCTGTGTAACTCCCATCACCACTGCCAGGGAGGGGCCCACCTGCTCTGTAACCAGGGGCCTACAGAGCCACTCACCAGCCAGCTACCAACACAACCAGGGTCCGGCCCAAACCAGGTGCTCTGGGAATCCCAGCCACAGGGAGGAGACAGGCAGGGTCCTTCCTGCTGCAGAGCCAAGGCAGCAAGGTTTGAGGGCAGGAATTCTGAGCTCCTTTCCTATCACTGGCTGGTGGTAAACAGGCCCTCCTGGGGCTGCAGAAAGAGCACAGGGAAGTGCCAGACACAAGGAGCAGGGCCCCAGGAGCAGCTGGGCCAGAGTGAGCCATCCTCAAGTCCTACTGTGCCTTTCCCCAACGCCGCCCCTACCCCGGCCCAGCTCCTGGTTTCTGCCTGAGCATCCCCAGCCGTGAACAGCAGGCCCCCCTCCCAATGCCTGGAAGGCCCTGACCTTCTGTGCTCTGCTGTGCTCCCCAGCCCTCTGGCCTCCCTTCATCTCAGCAAAGTGCCATCTGCCTTCTCCTGGCATGGTCGTGAGCGTCTGTCTTACCCTCCCTGTTAGACCCATGCTCCCAGGGCCCCGGGAGCAGCCCCCTCTGGAGTCACAACACAGAGGGCCAGACTAGAGCTGAGGTCACCTTTGGCTTCTCAGTCCAGAGCCACTCAGGAAACACATGGGCAGTGGAATTGAAACCACACTGGGGCACTGGAGTGCCTCAGTCAGGGCTGAGAGCCAGGCCGGCTGCCACTTTGAACTTGGATCAAGGTCATTTTGTGAGAGACCCTGGGCATCAGTTTTCTCACCTGTAAAATGGTCCAATAACCCCAGGGAACACCTGGCACATGGTAGTTTCATGGTATGCATGTTGGAGGCTGGGATTCACTCCCTCTGCTAAGAAAAATGTTACAGGGGGAAATACGAGGCCGGTGTTAGCCATCCATTTGATTAAGGACGTGGGCCAGGCTTGCCTTTACTGGTTATGAGAAGCAAACGCCACTGGCATTTTCCAAACCTGACCTGACATTTGGTTCCTGTTTCTCTCCCCGCCCACCACATGCAGGGAGTGAGTTTTCTGGGAGCCCCTACAGCCACCCTCAGTATCCCTCGTACAACGACTCCTGGAGGTTCCCCAACCCGGGGCTGCTCGGTGAGTACTGGTGGAGGCCCTGCCGGGCCCCTGGGCCATCAGCTGCCCCATTAGGGCCCCTTTTTGGGCCAGGGTCCCTTGACAGCCTGAGGTATAGTCCCTGAGTGGGGGTGGGTAGCTTGCCTCAGGTACCTGCTATCCGGGAGTTGTGATGGGAGCCTCGGACAGGAAACACCACTCCAGCTCCGCTCAAGCCCTCATCCCTCCCCCAGATGTTTTGGTGGATAAGGGAAAATGGCAGAGAAGGGAAACAGAGGAAAAGGGGCATTGAAGGAATAGGGGGAGTGTAGGAAAAGTGCTTGCCTGGGAGTAACGTATTTCTTAAGAATCATTGAATCTTCCAGTGAGAAATCTCTAAGAGGCAACAAGGAGGCAGCAAGTTGGCAAGAGCCAACTTGGATTGATTGGTAGTGGCTACCTGTCTTGATAAGGACTCTGAGGCTTAGTGATTGATTAGTGATGCCTGCCATGGACATCAGCAGAGCTCCATTGGAAAGTTGATTGTTCTGTGCCTGAAGGCCTTCTGCGTCCTGCCATTCCCAGCTCAGCGGGCACCCAACCTCTACCCAGGCCTTAGGCTGGCATATTATCCATTGTTGGGGCCAGCCTGATCTGTGTACATCATCAGAGATATTTGGGCCACTCCAAAGACCAAGCAGGGATAACTCGGCCCTCAAAAGGCCAAGGAGAACCTTTTGTTTTGTTGAAATGAACTGACATGAAACCAGCTGGTGAGTGATAACAGGAGCTGAAGGTTCTGGAGCATGAAGCAGGGGCCCAGGGCTCACAGATGTCACTCACCACCTGGGGGCAGAGCTAGCCAATGAGCCTGCACACGGATCCTGCCCCAGCAGTCAGCTGAAGAATTCCTACACAGGTTGGGACAAGGCTCAGAGACCACCCAGGCTTGTCTGTCCAGCTTAACAAGGCCAGCTTAAGTAAGAGCCTATTAATTCCTGGATCCGGAATTTATTTTAGGACTGGGAAACAGACTTCACCAGAAAAGCAAGAATGTGGTCCCTTCAGACTCAAGTTGCCAGGTCATGGGTCTGTGATTAGGTGACTAAGGCAGACAACGTGACAGAGACACCATCCCTTCCTGGCTACCACCCTTCTGTGCACTTGGGTCTCAAGCTGCCCCCAGCTGCCCCAAGCATTCTGGCGTGTCACGCAAAACTTGCGGGTACAATAAATAACGATGCCAGTTAGTACTCCAGGTCCCTATGCCTGGAGATTTCATTTTATAGAAGACTAGGATCGTACTACCTGTGGCCTCCTGGATGGGCTGATCTGTGGACTTTTTTGGTTGTGGTAAAAATCAATTCTAAGTATTGGACCACGTCTCCACTTACCTAATGCTTTTCCTGAAAACAGCCCCTCTGAGAGGTCCTGGTCTCTGAGGTGGCCCAGCTGTCAGCCCTAGGAGGCAAAGGCTAATCATAGTCTCCTTGAACCAGAGTCTTTCAGAGGGGTAGGGGCAGAGTGCTGGGTCTGGAGCCCGAGCAGGTGGCAAAGGGAGGGTGGGGCTAGGCGGCATCTGGGGGCCTTTGCTGTTCAGCTGGAGTGAAGGCAGTTCACATCCCTGGGTGTTAGGCGTGGGCTGTGTGCCTGGTATGGAAAGATGTGGACTCTGTCTCAGGGAGCCTCCAGGCTGGGGGTGAGGGAGCCCCAGGCAAGGCTGTCCGTGCTGGGAGGGTGCTCAGTGCCTTGAGAGGAGACCAGAGCTGGTACAGAGAAGAGGAACTCTGTCCATCTAGATGAGTACCTGCTCATTGTGTGGGCGCTGGGCAAAACTCTTCATATGGGTTACCTTACTTTATCAACAGCTGTTCTATTATACAGATGGAAACAGTGAGACTCAGGAAGGGTTATTAACTGACCTGAGGTCACACAGCATGCAGGTGGCAGAATGAGGACTCAAACTCAGATTGCCCTGACCCCAGAGTATGATGTGGCACTCTTACTCTCCCTGACCAATCGAGTCTGAACAGCCAGGAAAAGAGGCCTCATCCCTCCACAGAAGTCTTGAGGGGCCCAAATACTCCAACCATGTATGTGATGAGAACAGCTCTGATCAATTTTTGAAAGCCAGGTTATTCTGTTTATCTGCCAGACTTTCTGGTGCAAACTACAGAATCCACTCTGGCTGGCTGAAGCAGAAAACCAGTCTATTAAGGGATATTACAGGCTTCCAGAATCTCCAGGAGGACCAAAGAGGCAGGTGTGGGACACACGGCCGGGAACATCACCCAGCCACACCACCAGCGCTGCCAGAGCCCTCCTGCTGGTGCCAGTTGGCTCTCGGCTCTCTGCTGCCGCTCTGGCCAGGGTGCGGGAGAGCTCGGCCCCGCCGCCGCCCCGGAGCTGGGCGTCTCTGCCATCCTAGCCCACCCACTTCCTCCTGCTGCCCCCTTCCCAATCCAAGTCGCATGCAAGAGGCTCTAACAGGCAGAGCCCAGGGGACACACTTGTGCCCTAGCAGCCAGCGGAATGGGAGAACGAGTTCATTCAAAGAGGCGGGCCTCCCACCACAGGAAACCCTGCAAACACAGGAAAAGTCAAAAACAATGTTGGGCAGTTACAAACACGAGAAATGGCCCCTGCACTTCCAAAGTCTGTAACCTGGGGAACCACAGGTCATCCCCCAATTGGGGCCTCAGTTGCCTCGGGTGTAAGATGAGGATAATTGCCACTGGCAGCTTCGTTCAGGCAAGAGCTGAATATGACACTCTCCTGAGGCCCACAGCTCTGAATAAGCAGTGATCCCACTTTCTTGAAGATGAGTAAGATGCCAGGCTCACTGTGCCATAGTCTTGCAAATAAGTTCCAGGCCCATCACACCTACCAGACTGCCCTTTACCCAGAGTGTCTTCAGGCCGTTAGCTACAAGAATCCCACTGGACCAAAAAGGCAGACTGATTATCTCTGGGGAAGGTACCAGGGGTGGGGAAAGCTGCTCTGAGGCTCCTTGGTGCTCCTGCTAGATCAGTGGGAGCGGCAGAAACAGGTGAGACCCTACACACACACACACACACACACTCACACACTCTCTCACACACACACACTCACACACACACACTCTCTCTCTCTCCCCCCGTGTGCTCACACGCAGCGCCCACACCCCAGCCAGCCTGGTTGAAGTCCCCTTCACAGAAACACCGCCAAGCCAGGCTGGGCAACGCCGCCCTGGTGAGGCCGCACACTGACTTCTCAGGAGAACTCCCCTGCCGCCGAGCCTCCTCTGCCGGGGCGGCCTGCACGTTGTGCACACAAGGCCCAGCCAGGCCCAGCAAACAGGCTGGGAGGGCACAGAGGCAGGAGGGATGGGGAAGAAAGCGTTGGTCAATGCGGATTAGAAAGGGTGTGCCCGTGGCTGCTCTAAGGGGATGAGGAGTGAGCAGGAGTGAGCAGGAGCCTGGAATGACTGTGTCAAGAAGCAAATTGATGATACTGTGAATTAGGAAAAATGACAGAAGAAAAGGACAAGTTTATTCTAGATGGAGGTCTAATGGGCACCAGACAGAGTGCTTTGTACGGTGATGTGTTCATTTCAAATGCAAGCATTTTTGATTTTTCGGGACAGGCTGGCCAAGAGATTAGGCTTTGGAAGGGGAGTGAGTCAGAGCGGGGGGGGGGCGGGGGCGGGCGGGTGAGAGGTGGCCTGTTGGGAGCTCAGAGGGCTGAGCTGGGATCCGCCCAGGAGCCTTACTTCTATTTGCTGCCCCTGGAGGCCCCTTTGTGAGGGCAGTCCCTGCGGTTTTCCCACTCCTGTGCCATGCCCAGGCCTACAGGGATGTCCCCACCACAGACACACACACATTCCTCTCTCCTGGGCTCATCTGAAGGCAGGATGCAGGGCTGGTACTGCAGATTCTCTGTGGGTGACTGTCCTAATGCTGTCCCCATCCCAGAAGAAAGAGCAGAGGAGGCTGACAGGCATCTCTGAACCAGGGCTCCAACTGGGAAGGTGACAGAGGAGGCAGCAGAGAAAGCCATCTCTGGGAAGACTTAGGCATGGGATTGGTGTCTCTGCCTTCTGGAACAGCACGGCGAGGCATTTCCCGCTCCTCCTCCATTGTCATTGCTGCCTGAGCCATACTCCCTCCCGGGGGCGGGAGAGGGCAAGGGAGGAAGTAGTGTGTCTCTTCATTGGGACTGGGTTTGGAGGGCCAGTGGCACGTGCTAAAGTGCCTCCCCCATCCTGCCCTCTAGATTACACACTAGCTGTGTGATCTTGGGGAAGCTACTTAGTCTCTCTGTGCCTCAGCTTCCTCATCTGCTACACGGGGACGATTCTAGTTCCTACCTGGCGCAATTGTTTTGGAAATGGAAAGCGTGAGTAGTTGTAAGTGGCTTAGAAAAGTGTCAATTTCCAAAGCACTTTCACATCCTTGTCTCAGCGTGCCCTCATATAGCCAGCCCCATTGTGACCTCCTTTTACAGATGAGAAAATAGACTCAGAAGCCACTTGTTCAAGGTCACTCAGCCAAGAGTGATAGAGTCCAGGCCTTGGTGCTCAGTTATGGTATCTGGGAGAATCACGAATAAATATGAGTCCACTCCCCCAGGGAATTAAGCAGCTCACTATTCCCACCCCAAGAGATACATGGTCTAGTGGCTACCATGGCCCCCACTGCTGTCCACGTGGACAAACACAGCCCCCCAGCGTTGGGTAGACTGCACTGTGGTGGGAAGAGTCCTAAATGCAGGCCAGGCTCTGGCACTGAGAGGCCCTGTGGCTTTGGGCACTTGGTGTTGGTTTGTTGAGCCTCGTTTCCTCACCTGTAAAAGGAGGCAATGGCCTAGCATCTCTAAGCTTTGTGGTTCTGAGAATCTGCTGGTCTCCCTGAGCCCCCCAGACTCTTTCATCCCTGGGGAGGAGTTTTGGCGCAGCGTAGGCCTCCTGGAGGCCTCGTCCGAAGCAGGTAGTCCCAGAATGAAGCCTTGAGACAGTGGGAGGAATCCAGCTTGGCTCTCACCCTGGCTCTCTCTGGAGGTCACAGGCCGCAGGGCTCCACCTTGCCCTTCTCCCATGGTCTCCCATACCTCAGGCTCCCCATGTCTGTCTCTTCCTGTCCTTCAAACCCAGCCCAACCCACATCCTCCAGGAAACCTGACTCTGCCAGAATCATCTTGCATTCCCCAGAGCTCTTTTCTCAGAGCTCTAATCCCCCTGCTGACTCTGAACATTGGTCTGTGAGGTTTGTGATTATTGCCCCTTGCTGTCCCCAATAGGGCCAGAAAAGAAATGAGTGAATGGGCAGGGGTCTCCGCTATTGTTTGTTTACTCAGTGCTGCTGTGATTTACTCATCCAGCCTGGCTGTGAGCACGTGCCACGTGCCGGGCTACAGGCTGGGGACTGATGGCAGACACCGGGAAGAGCAGGGCCCAGCCCCTGCCTGTGTGGGGCTCTCTGTCCAGGGGCGGGGCGGGGCGGGGAGAAGCAATAAAAGAGGTGATTGGAGCCCCTGGTCCAGGCTGCAGAGCAGGGTGAGCTCAGGGCAGGGGGGGGGGCTGCAGGAAGGAGCGGAGGAAGAGGCAGAGAGGCCCGAGAGGGGGACGAAGTGGGCTGACTCCCCTGCCCTGGAGGCGGAGATGAGACAACACGGGAGTGCGAGGCCGAAGAACTGCTTCTCCGCGGGTGGTTGCTGTTAGCGTGAGGGTACCTTTGAGACCTCTGCGGGGTCCGAGTTCACGGGAGTGTGGTATGTGCGTGGTGTGGGGCGGGCGGGGGGACAGCCCGAGAGGTGGGCAGAGCTAGGTCACGAAGTATCCACAGGGCGAACTAAGAAGTGATGGCTTTTCACCCTCTAGGTCAGAAGTTGGCAAACTCACCCTGCCAAGGGCTGGATGGTAAATATTTGGGGCTGCGCAGGCTATGTGGTCTCAGCTGCAGTGTTCAGCTCTGCTATAGTAGCGTGAGAGCACCCACAGACAGCACAAGGGCAAGGCTGAGTTCCAGTAAGACGTTATTGACTGAAACGGGCAGCAGGGAGGATTTCAGCCGAGGGCCCCAGTCTGCCTACCCCAGCTCCAGGTGGGGAGGAGGCCTTGAAATCTTGTGAGCAGGAAGCCACCCTGATTAGGTTTGCAATTTGGGAACAGACTGGGACAGAGATCTTGGTGGCCTGGGAGGAAGGGGAGGAGGAGGGGGACCCTGGTGGAAAGGGGACCCCATATATGGGGTGGCAGGCACAAGGTCACCCTCGAACCTCCGTGCCCTCTTCTGTCTCTCCCAGGCTCCCCATACTATTACAGCGCCGCGGCCCGAGGAGCCGCCCCGCCTGCAGCCGCCACTGCCTACGACCGTCACTGACCCTCGGAGCCAGGCGGGCGCCAAGCACTTGCAACACATATCACTGAGGGCGATAGCCTCTCAGCCCCTCCGAAGACAGCCAGAGGGGCCCAATGAGACCATCCCCCAGCAATCCTCTCTCGCCTGAAACTCCCTCCCAACCTTTTCCTGCCAGGGAACTGGGGTTCTATGGTAAGGCTGTTGGACTTCTAGACACACACATTTCTAAGTCAATCAGTGCGCTTCTCCCAACAGCAACTGGGTGTCTGCAAAGCCACAGACTACTCTGCAGACAACTGTAGCCCCAGCCTAGCCTGCCGGTCCCCAGCTGTCTGACCATCCACCTGTCTTCTTGCCCCAGGCCTGGGAAGGAGAGCTTGTTTTTGTCACTTCAACAGCACCCGTGTAAATACCTTCTTGCTTTTTTGTGGGTGTGAGGGTCCAACTGAGCAGACGGCCCACCCATTATGCATCCAGTATTCCCAATGTGTCACAGGACATCTTAGACCTGTGTGCAGAGCATCCCCTCTGTCTTGGCTGCCCCACCCCCCCACAGGTGGGCTTGGAGTTGTCCTTGAGACTAAGGATGCCCACCTCAGGTCCCAGCCTCCTGCTCATTGCTACTTCTTTAACACCTGGACTAGGAGTCTCATTGGGCTGGTTATGCTTCAAGCTTGCCCCTTGAGACCCCTCCTCAGGAGAAACACACTGGAGAGATGCCCTGGCTTCCTGACTCCATTTTCCTGGGCCCAGTGCAGGGTGAGCAGCTCTTTTCCATATCAAAGGACTCAAAGAGAACAAAGGACTGTCTGGGAGATTGCTCAGCTATGATTCTAAAGATGCTGTCGAAGGTGCTGACTGCATTGTGGACTTTGAATGCTGGGGCTGGACAGGACCCAGAAGACCATAGTCCAAGGCAGGGACTCCCAAGCCCCTGGAACCACTGAACTGAACTGGGATGTGTTTTCTGAGGCGTGCCCAGGCTCATATCACACTGGACACCCACCATGGACATTTCTCCCACCCTCCAGGATGCCAGAAAGTGGATTCTGGGCAAGCCTGTTCCTGCCATGTAGACAATAATTAACAAAAAGGACATTCTTGCACTGAGGACCACAAACACCTAGAGCAGTCAGCCAGAACTTTCTGATCAGCCCCTCCCTATCCTCGTAGAGCCTAGTATGCAGCTGGAAATAAGAGGTGCTGGGATGGGAGCAGATGCCTAACTTTGCACAGTGGGTATACACCTATTGATGCAAGGGGTTGTAATGGCCAGGGCCATGGCCAAGGGCCCCAGGAGCCTGGAGGGGAGCTTGGAGAACTCACTGGAGGCTGGAGTGATCAGAAAAAACCACCTGGGAGGATACGGGGGACAGAGGAAGGCCTTCTGGGAGAGGAGCAAGATAAGCAGTGAGGAACTGGTGTGTGAACTGGGAGTGGTTTTGAAATAGGGGTGCCAGGGGCCACCATCTCTTTGCCTGGGGCCTCAGTTCCTTCAGTAGTCTCTCTTTTGCCCACTCAGAACAGCAAGGTGGAGGCCCTGTCCCAACCTGGACTGAATTACACTGATGACCATGGACTTTGCCATTTCATGTGACAGACGTTTGCATCCCCGATGTTTGCATGTCACCAAGTTGGCAAAGAGCTAGAGCAGAGCAGAGCCTGGACTTGAGGTTATTGGGCCTGAGAGGTCTTGTCCTGGCCACACTGCTTCCTTGCTGTGGAACCTCAGACAAGACCTTCATGTCTCTGAGCCTCGGTTGCCTTGGTATAGCAGGGTCACCTGCAAGGTCATCCTCCAGCTCTCTCCTTGCCTTCCTCTTTCCCAGGATGGGGAACAGACTCATAACTGGGTCATCTGGGGGCAGGTCTTCTACTTCTGAGCAAGCCTATGGGATGGGTATCTATTTGGACCAAACGGGAAATAAGAACACCCAGAGGGATGGAAATAAGCCTTGAGAACAATCTAGTCCAGCTCGCCTCAGGGGAAAATGAGGCCCAGTTTGGGGAAGCCTGGGACAATACAGGGAAATAGAACAGACCTCCTCTGGCCACCACCAAGTGTTTTCTCCCCAACATCCTACAAGGTGGTGGAAGAGAAGAGGAAATGGGCTCAACACGGTGGAGTCCCCAGGCATTGACTGGCAGAGGCGGGCTGGGATTCAGCCTCCCAACCCCTGGCACAAGGTGATCCTTCCATCCCCCGGGGGGGGGGGGAGGTTGACAGCGAGGGCAGTGAGAGATCGTTCTGGGCCCACTGCTACAGATGGAGTGTCCCGGGCTGTTAGAACTGACAAGGAAGCCCAGCCATCCAAGGCAGAAGTGGGGCCAGGGAGCTCACTGCAGGCGCACCCACCACCTTGGAACCTGCTGGGCAAAGAAGGGAGGCAGCTGGGGGCAGAGCCCACCTTCAGGAACAGGATGAACCAGCTCCAGCCTCCACCTGCCAGGCAAGGTAGGAGAAGGTACGGGAGCTGGCCTCTCCTTTCCTCCTTCCCTCCCTCCTTCCCTGCTGCAGGAAGTGGTGGGCTCAGAGGTTTGCAGATGAGGCCTTTGGCCTCTTAACACCCACACCTTTGGTCCTTGACCCTCCTCGTGGTCTCAGGCTATTGGGAAGTCAGCTTTCCCTGAACCAACTGCCTAAAGCACACCCTGTCCTTCCTCATCAAAGCCCAGCTGGCCCCATTCTGTTCCTTCTCTTGCTGTGATGCGCTCCCTCCATGCCTTTCCTCTCTCCCCTGAGGCTCTGCTGGTGTTCAGATTGCCTCTGTATTTATTAGACAACCCCTTGATTCCTGGGCTGCCAGGCAGAAGCACAGGAGCACATGATGTACACATATGTTCTCACACAAGTACCTGCTCTCCCCAGCTCAGAGTCTGCGCACTGCTGGTGGAACTGCCTGTGAGCCTGGAGAGAGAGGTTCCAAAGGACACAAGCCGCTGAGTGAATGCCAGAGAATTCTGAACGGACAACACAAGGCCAGGGCTTTCACCAGCATTGTGGCTGGAGGCCTAGGGCACTCCTCCACAGGCCTTCAGCCCTATGTTCTGGCTCTGACTTTTGGAAAGGACCTTGTGGATTTTATGAAAAAGTTTCATACCATTAGTCTAGCTCCAGCCTTGAAAAATCTGATGACATATCAAATCCAACCTCCCTTTCTCAAGGCGCCTTAGTTAGGGTTAGCCCTTTCATAACTCACATTTGTATGGTGCTTTGCAATCCTTGACCATTCCCTGGGGCAAAGATCACAATGCCCATTTTACAGATGGGAAAACTGAGATTTGGGGCTTGCATGGCAAGGCAGAGGTGAGCTGAATTCTCAGATCTCTGGGCCCCATTCTCTCTCCACAGAATTGTGCTCTTGTCATGGGAGCATATGGCTTAGACATACCCTTCAGTCCCCTAGAAACCCCCTAGACCCACGAGGAAACAAAGAACAGGGACCCAGAGGCTGGCCTGAGGCTTGGTGGCTTTGCTGGTCTGCCTTGATTCCCATTAACACCAAACCTGCAAAGTCTTTGCTCAGATTCATTCACATCAGTGCTTCTGAGGTTTCATTCATGCTTCTTCCCTGCTGGGTCCTGAGACTCCGAGGGGATCAGCGCACATCCAAGACTACACCATCAGCCTTGGCGGGGCCTGGATGTGAGCCTGCCTCTGACTCCGAGGGTCTAAGGTCCTGGGGTTTATGAGATGTCTCCTCACTGTGGCTCAGACTCCAGACCTGTCTGTGGCAACATGTAGGCATCCCCCAGCCGGGGCCCTGTGGGCGGCCACAGGCCTGGGAAACACAGATCACAGTCTCCAGGGCCCTGAACTGCTGCTTCCTGGGCCAGGCAGGTGATCTTGCCACTCAGGCAGGGTGTGAGATGGCATGGGGCTGTGGGACCCGAGACAACCAGAGGGCTGGCCCCATCCAGTGGCACTGAAATGTGAAAGCTTTTTAAATGCCCTTCCAGCCAAAAGAATGTTTGTGGGCCACATCTGACCCACTGGCTCCTAGCCCATGACCCCCAATTTTTGGCCAGTGCTCCCTTTCTTCACCTCCTTACCCTTCATTGAAGATGGGAACCCAGAGAGATGGGAGACGAGCTTCGACTTGTTAGGCCAGTCACTGGGTAAGGCATCCCCAGTCCTTATCCCTTCCCTCCTCACCCTGGGCTCTTGGACCATTTGGGGTTTGACAGTGGGTGGGATAGAACAGGTGGGGGTGGTGGGGGTGGTGGGGGTGGAGGGACTGTTGGCTCTGAGAGTCCAGTGCCACTGGGGTTTTCTCATGTGTGCGGGGGAAGTGCCCCAGATGTGGCCACGGGGCACTGAGGGGTGAAATCCCTTTCTGAGAAGTCAGAGCCCAGAGCAACTGCCCTGCCTTTGGCAGCCTCTGGCACCAGCTTCCCCCCTCCCCTTTCTGGATGACATTTCAGCTAGACTTCAGCTCCAAGCCATGGGGAGCAAATCTTAAAAACAAACCAAGCACTCCTGACAAATACCTAGAAACAAGATATGTCTGAGACACAGCTGCCCTGAGGGTAGAGAAAAATCCAGGTCCCTGCATAGGCCAGGCCCAGGCTGGAGCGGGTGCACCCCCACAGCACTCTGGGCTAGACCAGTTCCTGGGTGACCCCGCTGCTAAAGAAGCTGGCTTTGCGGCCATGGCCCTGTCACCCACCTAGGAGCCTGCCTCTGATGGCTTCCCGGCAAGCACATCAATGCTCCTGGAGAATTCATTCCTTTAGTTCTTCTGGCCTCAGAGAGGTCCAAGGCAAGTGCATTTCTTAAAAGGTAACAAAACATTATCGGAAAGTTGGACAGTCAGGCCATGACTCCTAGCCTGCAGTCTGCCCCACCTCCCAGCAGCCCCTTCAGGCCCTTGTCCCCTGACGACCCCTTACCTCAGGATTCCCTCCTGCATATTCATGGTGGAGTCATGGAGCCGCAGTGTTGATCCGCACTTCCCCATTGTCAGCTCGGGGCTGCGCTCCGCAGTGGCAGCCAGGTCCCGAGGGGCTGCCGCAGAGGACTGGAAGCAAGTCCCTGGCCTGCCTGCTCTCTTGAGGAAGGGTCTGCAGCTTCTCAGACATGGGCTGCTTGCCAGGAGCAGCCAGGCACCAGACTCTCTTTCCTTTGCTGTGATTTCTCGACACGGGGATCCCGTTCCTGGACCACCCCCCATCCCAGGATCAAAGGAGGCCTCAGGACCATGTCCCTGCCAGTCTAGAGTTTCGGTCCATGTGTTCCCAGGGGTCCCCTTTAGCCCATGTCTGAGTTGGGGGTAAATGTAACCACCATGCAGTAAGTCTAGATATTCTCCTTCCCACATCTTAGACCCCTAAGCAGCAGAAGGAGAAAATGCAGCTCTTTATTTATTGAGGAAACCGTAATGAATTCTAAAAGGGAGTTGGGTCTC